TTTGCACTTCCCACTCCAGCTCCCATACTCAGTGATTGCTTACATTGTGCAGCTGGGCCTTCCTTCTGATTCCTATACAACACCATTCTGCATCCAAGTGAACATGACCTCCTGCTTTCTTTGTAAGGCCAGTGATAATTATGAGTCTCTGTGTACACTGCTCTAAACACATCACATATTTCACTACTGGTAAACCCCAAACATGACACGGGGGGCTTCTGTGAATAGTCCACATCATAGAATTACACCTACCATGACTCCACGTCCTGTTCCCAACCCCAGCCTTTCTCCATCTTATACTCAGAAGTGTCAACTCATTTTGTGGTGACTGGTATGTAGAGTGGTAGATGTACAGACAGACACACACTCTCCAAGCCTGGGGAATTCTGAGGATTGGGAACCTTGCCTCTCTGAAGTCTCAGGTCCCCACACCATATGTGCACTGGCTTTATGTATATCAGAATGAAAGGTTGCCTGGTCTTATGCCATCCTCACAATTGTCGGTATGTGATTGTTTAACTCATTGTTGCAGTCACTGTTCTAATCCATTTATCATGGGTCTCCCTCTCTTTTTGCTGACCCCATACTTTACCAAAGCATGATGTCTTTCTTTCATAATTGTTCCCTTCTGGTAATATGTCTGTGGTTCAGGAAACAAGTCTTGCCATCCTCACTGTCTTTAACTTTTATATTGTGAATTTAAGGAAAGTTTATAAAAGAGATAGATCACCAGTCTCACATCCAACAAATTATACAATTTCTGTAATTTGTGTCACTTCAGTGATTGCTATCCACTCTGTGTATTGTTGTTGTTGTTGTTGTTATGTGCCATGGTGTTGGCTCTGATTCATAGCAACCCTGCATAGGCTTCCGAGGCTTTAAATCTGTACAGGAGCAGAAAGCCTCATCTTTCTCCCGCAGAACAGCTGGTAGTTTCGAACTGCTGACTGTGAGATTAGCAGCCCAATCGTAACCACTACACTACCAGATCGCCTTATGTACTGTTGTTATTGTTAACTGCCATCGAGTCGATTCCAGCCCATAGCGACCCTGTATAGGGTTTCTGAGGAGCAGCTGGTGAGCTTGAACCACCAACCTTGCAGTTCAAATAGCTTTACAGTCTGGTGCATTAACCCACAGCGCCACACCAGGACTCCTATGTGCCGTTAGTTAGCAGTATTTACCTTCTTTTTTTCCTACCCTCCATCCCCCACCCTGTAACCATCATAGAATGTTTCATTTAGCAAGAAATCTTTTCTTAACTTTTTAAAATAGTTGTTAAGTGCTGTCAAGTCTGTTCTGACTCAGAGACCCTGTATAGAGTTTCCAAGGAGCTACTGGTGAGCTTGAACCATTGACCCTGTGGTTCAAACTGCTTTGCAGTCTGGCGCATTAACCCACAGTGCCACACCAGGACTCCATGTTATTGTTGTTGTTGTCAGGTGCCATCGAGTCAGAACTGACTCATAGTGACCCCATGCACAGCAGAACAAAACAATGTCCGATCCTGAGCCAACCTCACTACCGCTGCCACACTTGAGTCCATCAATGATGCCACTTGGCCGATCCATCTCGTTGGGGGTCTTCCTCTTTTTCTCTGACCCTCCATCTTACCCAGCATGACATCCTTCTCCAGCGACTGTTCCCTCCTGACAATATGTCCAAAAGGACTGCATAGTCTTCTGCAATATTTGCCCTTTTGTGATTGACTGAGCATAACATCCTCCAGATTCATCCATGTTTTATGAGGTATTCTGCTCATTCTTCATTGTTCTTCAGTGTTGTATAATATTCTATTGTGCGTATGTACCAAAGTTTGTTCAGCCATTCTTTAGTTGATGGGCTGTCTCCATCTTTTTACTATTGTGAATAGTGCTTCCATGAACATCAGTGTGCATATTCTTTTCATTTCACAGCTGATTTTTGAGGATATATACTAATTAGAGGGAATGCTGGGTCATATGGTATTTCTATATCCAACTTTTTGAGAAAACATCATACTGTTTTCCACAGTGGTTGCACAGTTCTGCAGTCCCATCAGCAGTGTAGGAGGGTCCCAGTCTTTTCACACCCTTGCCAGCATTTGTTGTTTTCTGTTTTTAGGAACTTTGCTATTAATGCTGTAATAAGATGATATCTCATTGTTGTTTTGACTTCGCTCTTATGGCAAATGATCATTTGTTGACCACCTGAGTGTTTTCTTTGGCGAAGGGTTTGTTCATGTCCTCTGCCCATTTTTTAAATTGCATTATTTGTCTTCTTGTTGAGGCATTGAAGTGTTCTATAAATTATTTTGAGGAATTTCCTTTCAATTCCTATGTTGAGTGTTTTTATCAGGAATGAGTGTTTGAGTTTGTCAAATGCCTTTTCTGCATCAATTGATATGATCATGTGATTTTTTTTTCCCCTTTGTTTTATTTATGTGGTAGATTACATTGATTGTTTCTCTATTATTGAACCATCCCTGCATGTTGTTGTTATTAAGTGCTATCAAGTTGGTTCCAACTCATAGTGACCCATAGGGTTTCCGAGGAGTGGCTGGTGGGTTTGATCCGTTGACCTTGTGGTTAGCAGTTCAGTGCTTATCCTGCAATGTCACACCAGGACTACTAACACAACTGCCATGTAGTCAACTCTGAATCATGGCGTCAACCTCACCTGTGTCAAAGTAGAACTGTGCTCCATAAGGTTTTCTGTGATCTGTTAGAAGCAGATCATCAAGCCTTTCTTCCGAGGTGTATTTGAACTCCAGTGCTTCTGTTGGCTGCTGAGCACCATTTGTACCAATCTAATTCATTTGTACCAATCCAACTTTGTCATGTTGTATTATTTTTGGATATGTTGTTGGATTCTATTTGCTGGGATCTTGTTGAGAATTTTTTCATCTGTTCATGAGAGAAAACGGTCTGTAATTTTCTTAGTGATGTCTTTGCCTGGTTTTGGTATCAGAGTTATGCTTCATAAAATGAATTCCCAAGTTTCCCACTCTTTTCTATATTGTGGAATAGTTTGAGTAGAATTGATGTCAGCTCTTCTGTAAATGTTTGGTAGAATTCATGGTAAAGCCATCTGGACCTGGACTTTTTATAGTTTGGAGTTTTCTAATTACTTGATCAATTTATTCTCTTGTTATATTGTCATCCTCACTTTTTTTGTTTTTTTGAAAATCACTGAACATTTAATTAACTTCCATGTTGCTTCAAGTCACCAGGACACAGCCCCCCTCCCCCCAACACCCTTAATCTTCTCCTTGGCTCTTATGCTGAAAAATTTGGCCTTCACGATGACAGGTTGTTTTGGGAGCTTTCCCTTCCCCAGAACTTTGTAGTAACCCGATCGCACCACATTGATGATGGAAGCAGCCCCAGTCTTATTTTGGGCAGCATTTACCCTTGTCTGCTCACTGACCAAGGACCACAATTTATCAAGGTTGACAGTTGGGCAGAACTCAGGTTCCTCTTCAGGTGATAATGTCTCATACCCACCTTCCCAAAGTAACCTGGATGGTATTTGTCGAAGTTGATCCTATGATGATGCAAGCCGCCAGCATTACCCCAGCCTCTAGGGTGCTTCCGGTACTTGCCGATGTGGCCATGGCCATGGCTCACATGGCCTCTAAGTTTCTGGGTCTCCCGCTGTCTGGATGGCATGTAGGCTGTCGAGACGAAAAAGAGCCATCCTCACTTTTAAGGACAAATCTAACTGTTCTTTCTCCAAGACAGATTTGATTGTTCTTCTGAGAGTATATTTAGTATTCTTTACCACATCACAATTCAAATGCACAAAATCTTTCTGTTTTCATTCCAGCTGTCACATGCATATGAAGCAATTGAAAATACCATAACTTGAGTAAGAAGCACCTTAGTCATCAAAGTGACATCTTTGCTTTTCAGCACCTTAAAAAAGTGTTTGCAACAGAAGCTATGTGGAGCAGTTGTATTTTGTCCTGTACAGTTGCTAAGTTGGTGTTTTGTTTTGCAGCATATTTGCTCAATACAATTTGGCAAAGTTGTCTTCTGCACAGCTCAGGTTGTTTATGAGACTTCTTCCAGTCCTGATGCCATGTTCTTCATATAGTCCAGCTTCTTGACTTATTTCTTAAGAATGTACATAGATTGAATAAGTAAGGTGAAAGGATACAATCTTGTTGCACAATTTTCTAATTTTAAACCATATAGTATTTCCCCTTGTTCTGTTCAAACAATTGTTTTTTGGTCCATGTATAGGGTCTGCATAAGCACAATTAAGTGCTCTGGAATTCCCAGTCTTCATAATGTTATCCACTAGAAGCTGCTAATAAAATCTGAACCACTGGTTTAGAGTATATTGAACCAAAAATAATGATGTTGAATTAGTTTAGTTTGCTACTCAGGTAGAACTTTTATGGACTTTGAAAATACATTTCCTCTTTGGCTGGAATATGCTGTATGAATGAAACCAGACATCTATTGTAACACATGCAAAAACCACCAAGAAATATATATGTGGCTCCATAAGTATGTATGTCAGCATGTATGTGTATGTATACATGGGAACATTTATGTCTCCATAGGATAAGCACTGAACTGCAAGTCACAAGGTCAGTAGTTCAAGCCCACCAGCTGTTCCATGGGAGAAAGATGGGGCTTTTTGCTCCCGTGAAAAGATTTAGAGCCTCAGAAACCCTATACAGGGTCACTATGAGTCAAAATTGACTCCATGGCACTTACCAACAACATACAACATATTATATATATGCATGTATTTGTGTGTGAAACCCTGAGCAAGTTATCTGGTCTTTATAAACTTAGTTCCTCTCCTATAAAATGGGAGTGATGCTTTCTGGAATTATTTTTTAAAGTTCAAATGAAGCTTCTGATTCTAGGAATGAAAATACAGATAGTTTTTGTTCTTGGATGGTGGATTTCTCACTTGCTTGGAGCCTTGCAGTCTAATGTGTTTTTCCTGCTTCTTCTCTCTCTCTGCCAGCAGTTGTGAGACAGTTCTTGAAAAAGAAAGAAATGAGAAAAATACCGAATAATGGGACCCTGAAGATGGCATACCCCCTGGGGCTGTTTGTGTGCCTGTTCATTTATGTCGCCTACATCAAGTGGCATTGGACCTCTGCCGCCCAGGCCTTCTTCAGCATCACTGATGTGGCTCTGGGGGCACACAGAAGCCAGCAAGCCCACAGCCCCTCTGGGACAGCAGGACATGGTCATGCAGTCTTCTATGGAATCATGTTCGATGCAGGGAGCACTGGCACCCGTGTACATATTTTCCAGTTTGCCCAGAAGTCTAGAGGTATCCCTGAAGAGTAAATCCTGACCTTGGCCTCTGGGCCTGAGCTGTGGTCTGTACCTCATGATACTAAAAGATGGTAGTTTCCTGGGGGGTAGTCTGTACTTCCTGCTGGAGAATCAGCCGGGTGATTTTCTAAAGAAATTTCCTAGAGATGCTGACTGGTGGGTGGGGCCCAGGAATCTAAAGTTCCTAAGTGCCCCAAAACATTCTGCCTTGCAGTAGGAATTTGGCAAACATGATATAAAGGCAGCTGCGTCTATAGTATATTTGTGGCCTTTCCCCTCCTAGCATGCAGTTTGGCAAGTCTGGGTGGCCAGGAATGTGATTCAGTCCAGAGGTCATGTCTAGAGTGCTTGAGGCAGGAAGTGACCCTGTATTCTCACAGGTGAGGTCAGGAGTCCGGAAAGTCAGATAAGCCCAAATCAGGAGCCTGGACTGGGAGAATGAGTTGCATACACCTGGGTGTGTCCAGGTTGCAGAGGAATGGACAATGCGTGGGACATAGCTCTGGAAAGGCTTTCACATGAGGACCAACTCCTCTGACAGAAGCAATGATGGGCATTGGGCATCAGCTCTGGTCATTGCTTGGCTTTCAGTACTTGGGTATGCGCTGCTGTCCTGCCCTCCTCCCCTAAGTTTCGCTCCTTGCCTGTTGCTCATGTCTGGGGGCTCTGAGGTTGACCCCTCCTTGGCCAGGAATTATGGCCTGCCCTTTTCCTAACAGATCTAGTATTCCATTCCTCCCTGCCCTTTGCTGACTTTTACACCTTTTGAGCAGATGCTATCCTAAGCTCTAGACACTTAGCACCTCTCTCTAAAGCTACTGTTGTTGTTGTTGTTAAGTACCGTGGAGTCGGTTCCGACTCACAGTGACCCTGAACAGGGTTTCTGAGGCTGTAAATCTTTACAGGTGCAGAAAGCCTCATCTTTTTCCTGCAGAGTGGCTGGTAGTTTCAAACTGCCAACATTGAGGTTAGCAGCCCAATTCGTAACTACTACGTTATTATGGCATATTTATTTACTTCTAATTTAACATGCTTAATTTTTAACTTACTATGATTGGTTGGTTGTGTGTTGTCGAGTCGGTTCTGACTGATAGCAACCCTGTATAGTTTTTCCGAGGCTGTTGATCTTGATAGGAGCAGAAAGCCTCATCGTTCTCACGGGGAGTGGCTGATAGATTCAAACTTCTGATGTTGTGTAGTTAGCACCCCAACTAATAAACCCACTATGCTACTAGGGCTCCTTTAACTTACTATAATAGTTCATTATTTCAGTGTTGTTGTTGTTGTTAAGTGCCGTTGAGTCGGTTCCGACCCATAGCGACCCTGTATACGGTTTCCAAGGAGCAGCTGGTGAGGTTGAACCACCAACCTTGCAGTTCAGATGGCTTTGCAGTCTGGCGCATTAACCCATGTGTTGTTGTTGTTTAGTGCCGTCAAGTCAGTTCTGACCCATAGCGAACCTGTACAGGGTTTCCGAGGCTGTAATTCTTTACGGGAGCAGAAAGCCTTATCTTTCTCCCATGGAACTGCTGGTAGTTTCGAACTGCTAACCGTGAGGTTAGCAGCCCAACTTGTAACCACTATGCTTAGGTGCCAGCAAATCGGTTCTGACTCATAGTGACCCTATGCACAACAGAACCAAACACTGCCAGTTCCTGCTGCCCCATCCTCACAATCACTGTTACACTTGAGCCCACTGCTGTTGTTACTGTGCCAGTCCATCTCGTTGATGGGCTTCCTCTTTTTTGCTGACTGGTCCCTCCTGATAATATGTCCAAAATATGAGACACAAAGTCTGACTTTTCTGGCTTCTAAGGAGCATTCTGGCGGTAATTCTTCCAACACAGATTGGTTTGTTTTTTGACAGCCCATCATACTTTTAATATTTTTCTCCAATACCATAACTGTTAAAGCTGTTTTTGAATAATCTTTAGCAAAGTTTTACTTGCATGTGATATTAATGACACTGTCCAGTGATTTCCACATTCTGTTGGGTTACTTCTTTTTGAAAGGAGCACAAATATGAATCTCTTCCAATAAGTTGGCCAGGTAGCTGTCTTCCAAATTTCTTGTTATAGACGTGTGCCTCCAATGCTGCATCAGTTTTTGAGTGATTTCAATTTGTATTCCATCAATTTCCAAAGCCTTGGTCTTTGTGAATATCTTCAATGTACCTTGGAATCCTTCGTTCAGTACCATTGGTTCTTGATCATATACTACCTCTTGGAATGGATGAACATAGACCGTTTCTTTTTGGTACAGTGACTCTGTGTATTCCTTCCATCTTCTACTGATGCATTCTGCATCAGTCCATATTTTGCCCATCATTGTTAAGTACCATCAAGTCAGTTCCAACTCATAGCGAATCTATATAGGGTTTCTGAGGAGCAGCTGTTGAGTTTGAATTGTCAATGTTACAATTCAAACCGACCTTATAGTCCAGCACATTAACCCACAGCACTATACCAGGACTCCATTTTGCCATAGAATCCTTCAATATTTTAAGTTGAGGCTTGAATTTTTTATTTTTTCAGTTCTTTCAGTTTGAGAAATACTGGAAGTGCTCTTCCCTTTCAGTTTTCTAACTCCAGGTCTTGGCACATTTCACCATAATACTTAACTTTGCCTTCTCAAACTGCCTTTGGAAATTTTCTGTTCAGCTCTTTTACATCCTCATAATTCTTCCATTTGGTTTAGCATCTCTGTACTGGAGAAGTTTCAGAATCTCTTTTGACATCTATTCATTTTGGTCTTTTCCTTGTCTTCCTAATGACCTTTTGCTTTCTTGATGTCATCCCACACGCTTCTGGTCATTAGCGTCTAATGTATCAAATCTGTTTTTGAGATGATCGATGATCTCTAAAGCTAGATGGGATATGTTCAAGGTCATATTTTGGCTCTTGTGGACTTGTTTTAATTTTCTTCAGCTTCAGCTTGAATTTGCATGTGAGCAAAACTGTTCCACAGTCTGTTTCTGACCTTGGTTTGGCTGATGATATGGCTGTGCCTTCCATGGTCTCTTTCCACCAATATAGTCAGTTTCATTTCTGTGTATTCCATCTCGTGAGGTCTGTGTGCATAGTCGTCTTTTATGTTATTTAAAAAAAATGAATAGGTCATTGGTCTTGCAAAAGTCTATCATGAGATCTCCACTGTTGTTTCTGTCACCAAAGTCCTATTTTCCAACTACTAATCCTTCCTCTTTGTCTCCAACCTTTGCATTCCAGTCACCAGTAATTATTGGTACATCATGATTGCATGTTTGAGCAATTTCAGACTGAAGAATTTGATAGAATTGTTCAACTTTATCATCACTGGCTTTAGTGGTTGGTGCAGAAATTTGAGTAATGTATTCAGTTGGTCTTCCTTGTAGGCATATGGATATTATCCTATCACAGACAGTATTATGCCTTAAGGCAGATCTTGAAGTGTTCTTTTTAATGATGAATGTGACACTCTTCCTCTTCAATCTATTATTCCTGGCATTGAAAACTGTATGATTATCAGGTTCAAAATGGTCAATACTAATCCATTTTATTTCATTAGTGCCTAGGATATTGATCTTTATGTAGTCCATTTCATTTTGACAACGTCCTTCCTAGAGTCATATTTTGTACATTCCATATTAGTGGACATTTAAGCTGTTTCTCCTTGTTTTGGGTCCCATCAGCAAATGAAGGTCCTGAAAGATTACTCCGTTAGAGTCATCATGATCAACTCTACTTTGAAAAGACAGCTCTTCCCCACTAGTATTTTGAGTGCCTTCCAACCTGAGGGACTCATCTTCCAGCACTATATCTGACAATATTCTGGTGCTGTTTAAAATGTTTCAATAGTCAATATTCTGGTGCTATATAACAGTGTTCCACTGCTATTCATAAGGTTTTCACTAGCTAAACATTCAGAAGTAGTCTGATTTCAAAATATTTCTAGTCTGCCTTAGTCTAGAAGCTCACCTGAAACCTATCCACCATAAGTGACCATGCTGATATTTAAAATACCAGTGGCACCATAATAAATATGCTTCCAATGAAAGAGCACCAAGATAAATGAAGCAAAACTTACTGGAATTGAAGAAAGAAATAGAAATAGATAAACCTACAATTATAGTGGGAGATTTTAATATATCACTCTCAAAAAGTGATAGAACAACCAGAAAGAAACT